TATCTATCTATCTATCTATCTATCTATTTATCTATCTGTCTGTCTGTCTGTCTGTCTATCTCTAGGACAGTAATTAGAAATGGTTACTGAACTAAGCCCAGAATTGAATGGGAGGAAAAGAGTGAACTAGATTGCATTTGGGAAATTTCTTAGCATTTTCAACAATCCCAAGCTGTTCCCTGATACAACCCCCCCATTTTTTTTTTGTAACACTAATGTTTTTCTGGTGATACTATAAGACTGAAAATAATGAAGTACTTACCACAAGTACACTGCAGCATATTACCAATAGTGACATGCATTAAAGAAGTGGTATTTGGAATATCATCCAGGGACATGTATGATCAGACCAGTAGGTAGGTTAGTCATGTATGATGAAAGAGAGGGATAACAGATGGTTAGTCTTAGTGATACCCTGGTATCTACCTAATGTCAAAAGACCTAAGAATCCAGTGATTTGATATGTAACCCATGGCTTGAAGCCCATTTTCATGGGACCCTCCTTATTGATGGAGATTGATTACTTAGTGCTTTGTGCAGAGATTCCGGTCTTCTGGCTTCTAGGTTAAAAAGAGGAGACACACAGTTACAGTCACTCTTCAGATCCCTAAAGAGGAAACAAGTCTACAGGTCTCCCTTCTTCCTAAGATCTTACCCTTGGAGCATACCATGCTCCATCTTACTTAAGCATGGAGCACCAAGTAATTGCTCTTTGCCAAAGGGAGAATCCTATGTGATGGGTTATGAGTCGCGGATTACAGATACATCACCCATAGAGAATTTACGTGAGGACAGGGACAAGAACAGCACAAGAGGAGAAGGCATGGACGAGCACCACTGAAAAGAGTAATCACATGTATGGGAGAGTGAATTCCCTGAAGTACTGAAGTAATAATACCATATATTCATATACCATTTTTAACTCCTTCCAAAAGAACTAGAATGTAAAGAGACATTCTTCTTACATAGTGCTTATACATCAAAATGAATGTTGTTCTTGAAAAAGCTTCTCTAGCCTAGATTAGAGTAGCTTGAGGGTCTTTGGTTGTTGTGAGCTTGTTCATAGAGTCCACCATATAATTTAGAGACCTAGGGCTTTACATCTGGAAAGGAACCTTTAGTGTCATCTAGTCCGACTCTTTATTTTTCAGCTGAGGTGAATGACTTGCCCAATGTCACATAGGTAGTAAATGGCAGAGCCAGAGTTAGAACTCATGTGCTGTGATCCCAAGTACAGCATTATTCCTAAGGCAAGATTACACCACACTGCCTCTAGAGGGTTTTTAGCCCAGGGACAAAGGGAAAATTATAGAAACTGTGACTGGAACAGGTATTTTGGGGTGAGGGATGTTGAAAACTGCCTAGACAACTTGACAAATCCAGCTGGTGGAGCCTTTGAGGAGGTGGGGTTGGGGCGTTGTCATTAGCTAAGTGGAATGGCTGATTGCTATAATACTGGCAGGTTAAGGAGCTCATGGTTCAGGCCCTCTACTCTGCTCAGCTCTATACTTGGAAGATACCATGATTTTAAGAAAAATATAGGCTATTCCACAGGCTGTTGGGCAAATGCCCAAACACTCTTTGGGTTAATTCTCTCTTAGAGAGCAGAATGGTAGTGGGTGATTAGGAAAGTGATAGATGAAAAATTAAAAAAAAAAAATCTTTGCTTTGAACCCCATGCCTAGTAAGCTAGAGACAATCCTCACTCCTAGCTTGGCCTCTAGGGAAGGACTGTTGTGTCTTCAAGCAGATGGTGATTCCCATGTATCCTCAATTCTCTTCCTAGATGCTCATGCCCTGGATCTTGTCCAATAAGATCTTTGAGGAAGTCCGGGCTTTGAGAACTCTTTCCCAACAATTGAGATTCATTAGCAGCTTTCCTGTACTAAGAGTGAGTGTCCCAGGGGTTCTGGTTCATGGCATTATCTTCTTCTGTGCTTTGCACATGGCACTGGGATGGACCCTTAGCCATATCCTCCCCTTGAGTTTCCTAGGGGATAGATAGAGGGTGGGTATCCATAAATCTTATAAATTCCTTGCACTGCTCCTTTCTTTACTCTCCTCTCTGGTGGGGTCTGATCTTCTGGGAACACCCATCATTGGGGATAGGGGGAGGATTGGCTCAATGTTTCAAAGTTCTGCCACTGGCTCAAAGAGCCTCCATTTCAACCTTTTCTATATCCTAATTTCCCCATTGAGAAATTGGAGAGAATTCCCTTGCTTCTATAAAGGTGGGGTGAACATGGGGTTTTTGAGAAAAACTTGGTCCATGGTGACCAAAGGCCTTAGAGTTTTAACTCTTGAGAGAGGAGGAAGAAAGAAGTAAAATTGTCATGGGTGGAGTGGAGCTAACTTTAGAGTTTGGAGAGGTAAATGGTTCCAAATCTTTTACAAAGCACCTGGAAAATTTCAAGATTGGTGGGAACTTGATGGGCATCTTGGGCCTCGTCTGTATGGACAGTAACTATGAAGTCAGCACATGGGCCTCAGTAGCACTCCATTACTGCTTCAAATTCTTTGTGAACCAGAGGCGTAAGTGTTGAAGAAAAAAATGTTAATATTATACTCTGTGTTTTAGGGACAATTCTGCCAGAAACAATTTTTATTGATTTAATATTATTCAAAGTCCAAGGACTTCTATTTTAGAGAGAGAGAAATGTTTAATATGATACAATCTTACCCCTCTCCCATGCCCTCAGATGCCTCTCTCTCCAAGATAACTTAAAGTAACCATTTATAGGAATTTTGAATAAGGAAAATGTCATAAAATTATAAAATACAGTTTTGAGTCAACATCCTACTTCGTCTAGTGGAAAATAGTCATATGATCTTTTGGGAATAGCCCTGGAAAACCATCTTCCTAAAAACCATTCATTCCTATTTGACCACTGCTCTCAAAGGCTCGTCCTTGGCTGATCACAGGTAACTTGAAGTAATCAAGAGGACAGCCTCTGATCAATACCTTAATCCCTTCAGGAAATGGGAAAAGAGAGACTGCCTTTAATGGGTCAATGGGTCAATACCCTCATCCTTTCATCCTTCATTGGAAGGGAAAAAGCAAAAACTGAATATGTGATATTTCTCCTAAGTTTACTTACTTTACCCTTAATCCATTTTCTGGGGCCTTTCATTCTTAACCCTGTACACATTTTCCTAAAGGGAAAAGTCTGTAAAAAAGACTGGATAAAACATTATTCCTTAATATTTTCAGTTGAACTGAAAAGGAAGTTTTAAGAATGTGCTTCATAGTGTCACATACCAAGGTGACTACTTAACTATAGTCATAGTCACCTTACTAAGGATCTCACCATACAAAGCAATATTCCTGAGTCATGTTTCCAAAGAGTACCTTATAGATTAAAAGCATAGTAAACTGAAAGCTATTTGAGACATCACTGACCTCATCCCCCACATTTTACAGATCAATTTAAATGGCTTGTCTGACATCAAATGGCTAGCTAGTTAGGGGCAGAGCTAGGACTAGAGCTCAGGTTCCTTGACTCATGGGCTAAAGTATTTTGATATTATTATTATTATTATATTAATATTCTGTATCTTGTGGTCCCCCTCAATCTGGGATCCTCAGTTAGCTATTTGAGGTTCTGTTTTTGAGTCACAATCTTTTCCAAACCTACTCTCCCAAGTCCTCACTGATGACACATTTAGTTCATAACAAAGTTATTTTAACTAAATAGAAATGGAAATTACATAGTCACAGAGCATTTTCATCTTTCCATAAACCTTAAACTCACTCTCCATCAAATATAGAGACACTCAGTGGGAAGAGAGGAGCCTTATTATCCACACATGGGAAGCGCATGGACGTCTACATATGAGGCAATATATGTACAGAGAACATACGTTACCAGAAAATGCAAAGAAAGACAAATGATGACTCTACTACTGCAAAGCTGTTGGTGTCTTCTACTGATGTTCTTTCTCTTTTTTGTTGAACGAGCTCCCCATTGCTCCTACTTCTAATTGGTAGTCAACCTTGGCTATTTTTTGAAGGTCACTGATATGCTGGTAAAGCCTAGACTTACTGTAGTTGCTGTGGTTATAGCTCTTTTAGCCAACTCCACTATCTGTTGAGAGATGGTGTAGTTCAGGGGTGGGGAACCTGCGGCCTTGAGGCTACATGTGGCCCTCTAGGTCCTCAAGTGTGGCCCTTTGACTGAATCCAAATGTCATAGAACAAATCTCCTTATAAAGTTTTCTGCAGTTTTTTTTTCACTCAACCTCAGCAAAGCTTCTCAGTTAATGGTAATGAAGCACACTTATTTTCAGTCAGGCTGAGCCAAAAGGTGCAGTGGCCTCAGCTAAGATCAAGTCTGACCTTTTATTACTTCTTAGAATTTTTTCTGTTAAATGATTCTCTTCTGAATTTTTTGACTGCTTGGTCTTCTACTCTCTCCCCTAAGTCTGTCAATTTAACTTTCATCTAATTTATAATCAGAAACCAATTTTATTTTCATAAGTCTTGTCATACCTCCTGCTTGAAGGTTAATCTGCCCCAGAGCTCTATTTCCTCAAACAGAAAAGTGATTGAGAGGCACTGTGTAAATTGTTTTAAACTCTCTCCCATGGCCCCTCTGTTTTATGAAAATAGCAATTATTGTACTAATTAAAAAGTGAAAAATTCTAAGAAGCTTTCAGGCTGTTGACCTCTGTGTCACTTCCCTCAGTATCACAGCAGAGCTCTCCCTCTCTCTCTCTTTCTCTCTCTCTCTCTTTGTCCTCCCCTCTCCTCTTTCTTCTCCTCCTTCTATCTCTCTCTCTCCTCCTCCTTTTTCTTCTCTCTCCTCCTCTTCCTTTCTCTCTCTCTTCCTCTTCCTTCTCTCTCTCTTCTCTCCTTTCCTCTTTCTCCTTCTCCTCTCTCTCTCTTTCTCGCTCTCCTCTCCTCCTCTTCCTCTTCTTCTCTCTTCTTTCTCCATTTTCTCTCCCTTCCCCTCCCATTCCTTCCCATTCCTTCCCTTCCCTTCCCTTCCCTCCTCTTCCCTTCTCTCTTCTCTTTCCTCTATCTCCTTTCTGTCTTTGTCTCTCTCTCTCCTCTCCCCTTCTTTACAGCTATTACAGCATAATAATTTCATAACTCACATTACTATAGCATTTTAAGGCTGACAAAATACTTTGATTATACCAATCCTATGAGGTAGGCAGTGTGAATATTATCTCCACTTTACAAATGAGAAACTGAGTTTCAGAATGGTTCACTAACTCACCTGGGGTAACACAACTAGCAGGTGTCAAAGCCAGGATTCACAGTTGTATATTTAACAGCCTTGAATTTGTATTGAATAGAGAAGTACTCAGAAAGTCTCTCTTTTACTCATATCTGCAGAGGGTCCTTAAGTCCCACTTAAACTAAAGTGGGAAGATTCTGTGACTACCATACTACCTTTTTTTGGGCCTTGCATAAAAGTTCTATCAAAGAGCCTTTTCACTTCCTCCATTAAAAAAAACATTTACTACTGTGTACATCTAATATATACAGAGTACTGTGTTAGGTACACAAAGCTTAGTTGAGACCAAATCTCTGTCCATGGAGCTTAAGATCTAGCAGGGAAATATGGCACATATACACAGATAACTAAAATACAAAATAACAGAATCAGTACATTTTAGGAGAACAGAAGAAAATACAGGAAGCTTGTAGCCTATGGTGAAACGGGAGGTAGAGACATTTTGAGTTGGTCTTTAAAATGGGGGTAGAAATTAAATAAAGAAGAGAGAGATGGTGAAAATGAATCTGTGTTAGGATTGGAGCATTTGAAATAGAGAGGAGGTATGGGAGAAATGGTAGAAGTGTAAGACCAAGAGGACTCAGTGACTGGATATGAGAGAGAAAAGAGGAAAGAGTCGAAACTGTGGTTTTGAATCTGGGAGGGAGGATGGATGAATAATGGTGCTATAAACAGAAACAGGGAATCTTGAAAGAGAAAGTTGAAGGGAAAAGCTCAAGTCAGTGTTAAACAGTTTGGAGGTGTTAGTAAGGATACCCAGGTAGAGATTTCCTATAAGCAGCTTGAGATGGGGTTCTGAAAGTCAGAAGATATGTGAGGCAGCTAGGTGGTACCCTGGGTAGAGACACTTGAAGTCCAGAAAGTTAAACCAGAGTTTGAATCCATCCTCAGAAACTTGCTAGCTGTGTTACTTTGGGTAAGTCACTTAACCTCAGTCTGCCCCGGTTTTATCATCTGTAAAATGGGTATAATGATAGCACTCACCTCCCAGGGCTGTCAAGAAGATAAAATGAGATATTTGTGAAGTGCTTTGTAAACTTTAAAACACTGTATAAATGCTAGATATTTATTATTATGTGAGTCTGAAGGTCAAGACTGGGACAGATATAATAATAACATTTGTATGGTGATTTAATGTTTAGAAAGCACTTTACAAATGTTTCTTTTATCTTTGTGACAACCCTAGGAGGTAGGTACTATTATTACACCCATTTTACAGATGAGGAAACTGAGGCAGACAGAAATTAAGTGACTTGCCCAGGATCCAGGGGTGTGCTGGAGCCAGTTCAGCCTCTATTTCAATTTACAGATAAGGAAACTGAAAGTTGGGAAGAGGACTAGGATACAGGGAAAGAGACAGAGATGAGGAGGGAGTTCATTCCAGACATCAGGGATGGCGTATGAAAAGGCAAAAACGCCAAATTAACACAAGTATTAATCTGAAAACTGAAAAGTAAAATAGTTACGAGGTGCAGTATTTATGCTAGGCGGTATGTTATAGCAGAAAGAGCACCAGTCTTGGGGTCAGAAGACTCAAAAATTCACAGCCAGGCTCTGACTCCTGCTTATTGTCACTATAGTGAAGTAGTCTCTTAACTTCTCTGACTTACGGCTTCCTTATCTGTAAAATGAATGAATAAATGAAATAGTAAAGGAATGAATGAAAAAAAAAATTAACTTGCTATGTGCCAGCAACTGTGTAAAACACTGATGATGTAGATGCAAAAGACAAGATAATCTCTGCCCTCCAAGAAGCTTCCATTCTAATAGGGGAAGACAATAGATGGAGTGGCGGCCAAGGTGGAGTGTTTTAGTCCCTAGGATGGTGAATGGAGTCATAGGACAATGGATGGATACACCTTCCCTGGAATGATGGTATCCATTTGCTGTTCTCAGAGCAACAGGTGGAAGCCTTGGGGCGGTATAGGCACATGATCATGACTAGAAGGCAGAGTGGTAGGCCTGGGGCCAACTACATATAGTGAACTCTTTCCAATCATGGCCTCAGAACCCTATCATTTGGAGCTGGGGACCAGGTTGGAGGTAGTATGTGGCAGGATCATGGAAGGAAGATGACTGGAAAGAAGAGGATAATATCTACTCCACCTCATGGAAGTGTTGTCGGGAAAATACTTTGTAACCATTGAAATGCCATAGAAATGAGAGCTATTAGTATGATGTATCATTAATTGTACCATCTGGTACGGGTGGCTACCCTCTGGGGGCTTTCTGACCTGCCAATTTACACGAGGAACATCCCCCCCACCCCCTCCCACTTGCCTTCTACCCCTTTCTTTGATCAGTGTAACTATTGCCTCTGGAAAGGGCATGCCAATAAATTCCACTATTGTTCCATTCGTCATCCCTGTAACTTCCCAGACCAAAACTTTATTTCCTGGCATTTACTCTCTTGTATTGTCTGCGCCATTTGAATGTAAGCTTCTTGAGATCAGAGCCTATCTTGCTTTTGTATTTGTATTCTCAGCACTTACCATAATGCTTGGCACATAGTAAGCACTGAATACTTTTTGATCTGGAATCAGCAAGTGCACCTCATTCTGGGGGCATGGAGACTCTTTCTAGACCGTACCTTTCTCTTCCCACTGTGTGGAATCACTCTCTAATCACCATCTTTGATCCCCTGGACATGCTGGAGGAGAAAACAAGGGAGAGGACAGCAGATCTCACACATGCCCATTCCTCTGGCCCCTGCCCACCAGACAGCAGGCTCCTCATGACTGCCTGAGGGAAGAAGACAAATTTTGAATCTGGTTTAAATTAGGTTTTGGGGGAAGTTTATATAAAATCATTAATTATGAAAACAATAGATTTCACTACCATAGCTCAGAGCTCTAAACTAGGATTGAAAATCCTAACTGTTATAGGCAGAAGGGTCAAATCTTGGTTGCTGTTTTTCTCTACACCAATGCCAGCCATTCCTCACCCCTGCACCTGTTCCATTGCTAGGTTTCTGTTCACAAATTAAGATATGATACACATAGCAGTTATGGTTGGTCATGATTTTGTATCAAGGGTACAATAGCTTTCAAGTTACTTCAAAACACAGAAATTACCAACAGCTCAGAGAAATAGATAAATCACGAAGGAAATACCTGTTGGTTACAGGCAGAGGGGGGAAAGATAATTAAACCTTCACTGTCCCTTTGCTGATCTCAGATCTAGTCTGTTCTAGCCATACTATGGCTCACTGGGTTTAACTAGGCAGGTGGGGAGAGTTCCGAATCAATTAATCAATAAAGGCCTTTCATTAAGTGCCTACTATGTGCCAGGCGCTGTACAAAGTACTAGGGATACAAAAAGAGACAAAAGACTGTTCCTACCTTACAGTCTAAATCTTATTACATCTTTACCTCAGTCTCAGACCCCATGAAAAGTGCTTGCCAGAGACATTCTCTCTCCCCAACCATAAGTCTCAGTGTACCAGCTTGCTGCCCTTGTATCTTCCTCTCTGCTCTGCCACACGGCCATTTTACCTCAGCAGCCTCCCACAAGAGCCAAGTTGTTTATTCTTGCAGTCATAATCCAAGAAGTTCCATTGCTAAGGAACCTAAGGAAATTTGACCTCTGTCTCAAAGGCACTTGGGTTACACATTCAAGTGTTGGATGAGTAGCAGCTTTTAATAAACTGACCCCTGGCAACACTAATCAATTTACAGAACTGTGAGATCATTGATTTAGAGCTGGAAGCTGTGGTGTGTCAGAGCTGGCTCAAACCAGCTCATGAGCCCATTGTTAAATTTTCAAAGTGAACATTTATACCTTGGATAGCAAGCTACAAAGCAGAGCTTGGTTTATTTTTTTTAATTGATTATCTGGACTTAAGAAAGTAATGGAAAAAATTAAATAATCCAGATTAAACTTGTAAGTATATCACATATATATGTGTGTATTGCCTTCCCTGCCTCACTGTCATTTTACAAATGAAGAAATTAAGGCCTAGAGAGGTAAGAAGGCAGAGATGTGCCACATTGTTTCTTGTATTCTTTTCCTAGAGGCCTGGTTGCATGGGAATTTGCCCACCCTGTTGGGCAGAAGTTGTCCAACCTTGATGTCTGTCTCTGAGGTTGGGAAAGAAGTGGGAGTAGGGAAAGAGGTGGGAAAGGAGGCCTGCTTTTCTCTCTCCCTCCAATGGAGGAAGGCTGTGCTCCTTAATGGTGACTTTGTGGATCCTAGAATCGGTTCTGAAGAATGAGGAAGAAAGGCGCAGACTCCTAAAAAACTTGCAGAAGAATTTCCAAGCAGATTGGACCACCAGCCTGCAGTATATTGTTATGGTAACCCTGACTCTCCTCACATAGCCTGGACTGGGATGCTATTTAGTGGGGGTTGGGGGAGAGGTTAGAGTGGGTTATGGGGCATATCTTGATCTCAGGTCCCATCCATAAAGCCTAAAACCTCATGATCAGCTGGGAGGCTCTCTCCGGAAGTTATTTGTGGGTTAGAGTTTTAGCCATGGGGCAAATTCTTTAATTGGAAATATAATTAACTCTTTCATCTCTATCCATAGACATTATTCTTTGTTATTTCAGTCTTAGCATATCTTTCATCTCATTCATGCATGCATTAAATAATTTTTCTTTAAACTCCTATTATGCATATTCAAGGCACTATGCTAGATTCTGTCAGGGTTACAGAGATAGACAGGACTTGACTTCTCCCTTTAAGGACCATCTAATATCTTAGCAACAAGATAGGGATAGGAGAGTTATTTTTGATAGCTTTGATTTACCTCCTCATCACCTTGTCTGACTCACTGCTTGCATGGTGGCCTGCAGAACTGTAGGAGCTAAGAGATGGTAGAAGTTCTTCCCCTTTGTAGCTAAAACATCTAATTGATTCCCCTTCAAGAGAAGTAACTAGGCCTTCTAGCCTAACCCTTTAGAGACTACTATTATCCTCAGGCTGGTGCCCTGCTGAGTATAAATAGAGGCGATGCTGTTGGTCAGTCTGCCATTTTGTAAAGGACGGTAGCTGGAGATGAATGGAGAAAAGAGGGAACCCAGTAATTTCCTCTTTCTTTTGTGACTTTTTTGTGCTGAAATGGTAACAGTTCTTCCAAACATTGTATTCAGATGGTCCCTAAACTGAAAATGCATACTAAAGTTAAAATAGAAATCCCTTTTGGATCATTTTCTATTCTAAATAATCTTATCCTTTTAACCTAGAGAATAGAGAGTCTATTATACTTTGCATTTGGGCCTTGCGTTTGTGGCTGCCTGAATCTGTCTTCAGAACAAGCTGCATAAAGAGAAGCCTTTGTTCCCATCTGGGAGGAGTCGGGGGAGGAAGAGCCCTTATTGAAGGGCTACCTGATGCTGTTCTTCCTTTAGTTCTTCAAGATATTTCTGAACCCCGATGAGAGGACAACCATTTTTACATTGTGTGTGAATGCCATGACTGCTGGTAGCAGGTATAACACCTGGGCAGCTGTTCAGATGTTGGAGATGATCATAGATGAGCCTCTTCCTGAACTCAGCAAGGTAGGGAAACTAAGAATATTTTGGCTTAGGGTCTTCCTAAGGCAGTTTCTTAACTTTGGGATCAATGAACTTGGTTTAAAAAATTTTTTTTGATGCACTTATCAGGAAGGCTGAGGCTGGTGGATCACTTAAACTTAAGAGTTCTAAGCTACAGTAGGGCTAATATTGATCAGGTGTCCACATGAAGTCTGGAAGCAATATGGTAGCCTCTCACCCCTACCTCCCACCCCCCAAGCAGGAGGTTATCAGGCTGTCTAAAGACAGCCCAGTGTGGAAATTGAGCAAGTCACAGTGGGCTTGTGGGGTTGGGTGAGAGAGTGGCTGTGGTATAATAGAAATAATTCTAATTAAGGTGGAGTGCCAAAGGCTTTGCTCTCGGGTGGAGAGTTGCTCCAGAGTTGAACATTTAAATGGCCCGCCAATAAATAATTTTATTTTTCTGAGGAAGGAAGCAGACTCCCCCACAGGATGTGGAGCCTGGGGGTAGGAAGATGAGCTGGACTTGGATTAAGTCCGAGCCAGTGATAGGATGGTGAGAATGAGGTCTAGTGGAGGTCCAGTGGCTCCCCAGGAAGGGATAGTGCCCATTCTTTCAGTTTTCTCAGGGAGAAGTTAAATTTCCACTGAGAATTGGGTTCTAATCCCTGCTGTGACAACACTAACTCTGGGATTGCTTCTCTATAAAATGGAGTTGATCCATATGGTTCCTAAGGTCTCTTCCAGACTCCAGATGGAGTCTGTGGGACTCCATCTGATGCCACCTCAGCTCAGCTTTACTTTCAGTAAGAGGTGGATGAGCTGTCTTTGTGACTGTGAGCGAGTCAAAGTCATTCCTCAAGGCTGAAGGGGAAGGTTCTGTTTCTCTTTCATAAAACCAAGGAATTAAGGACTGGTTGATCCCTGCAGGCCCTTCCAGCTCCAACATGATACTTTGAGGGCTTCTGTGTGTGTGTTAGGGGAACGGAGAGGTGGGGAATTGCCAGCCCACTTCCAGATCTCCTTCCAAAAGCATATTTGCCCTAAAGCTTACCACTTCATCTGCAATCCTGGTTAATTAGGCTTCTGAGATGCTAAACAAGAAGAAACAATTAATTATCCTTGATAGCTAAGGTCACTTAAGAGGTTCCCAAATAACCCTCAATCAACAAGGACTTATTAAGACCCTGTTTTACATAGGCTACTGAGCTAGGCACTGAGAATAAAAAATGCAACAATCCCTATTTGCAAGGGTTTTAGGTTCTAATGCCTGGCAAGCAGTCAACAAGCTTTTATTAAGCACTTACTATATACCAGGTAGTGTGCTAAGCACTGGGGATACCAATATAAGCAAAAAGAAAAGGCACTTCCAGCCCTCAAGGAGTTTACATTCTAATGGACAGCACATTAAAGGGAGCTGAAAAGTCAGGCAGAATGAGAAAGTACTCTTGAGGTGACATAGTGACAAAGTCCTGAGAGTCTGATGTGTAGCTGGAGAAGAGATAAGAAGTACATAAATAAATACCTACAGCAGAAGTATAAAGTGAACCATATAAAGGGAACTTTCTGGGGGATGTCCTGAGCCATCTTTAACCCAACATGTCTCAGAATGGACTCTGTCCCTAAACCCTTCTGTAGAGGCAGTTAGGTAACAGTGTATAGAGGGCTGAGCCTGGAGTCAGGAAGACTGGGGTTCATGTCCAGCCCCAGACACTTTATAGATGTGTGACCCTGGGCAAGTCATGTAACCTCTGCCTTAGTTTCCTCAACTGTAAAATAGGGATGATAACAGCACCTGCCTTCCAGGGTTGTTGTGAGGATCAAATGAGATAATATTTGGGAAGCACTTGATTAGCACAAGTGCCTGGCACATAGTAGGTGTTACCTCTTGATCAGTGGTATCAAACTCAAATAGAAAGGGCACTGGGGAGGGGTGGGTAGAAGACAATTCATACATAAGAATCTCTGCTGGCCACATACTGATTTAGTTTAAAAATGTAACATTATCTGCACGGGGGAGTGTTGCTGATGGGCTGCCTGTTTGCCACCATCAGCCTCCCTCTTTCTCTCCCTGAATCAAGTCTCTGCCCACTGCAGTCCATCCTACATTTTGCTGCCCTTGTGGCAGCAAACTCCAGTGGCCTTCTTTTGCCTCTGGGATAAAATGTCCTTTACGTCCTGGCCTGAGCCAGTTCAGCTTCCTTGTGCATTACTCTTGTCCTGCATTCTGTGACCCAGCCAAACACGAGGAGGGACAGAGTGTCTCTGCACTGGTGTTCCCCCACCCCTGACCTGCTGTCCCTTCCTGACCCACCTCACAACGTTCCTCTCTTCCTTTAAGCTGCAGCTCAGGCACCATCTAAGTCTGTACTTGTTCACTTCCTACTTGAGCTGTATACATGTACTTGTCTTCCCCATTAGAATGTAAACACCTTTCAAGTAGGAATGGTTTTATTCTTTGAATCCTCAGTGCACAGCACAAAATAGGAGATTACTAAATACTTGATTGGATGTAGGGTGAGGGGGAGCTGCAGCTTTCACACCTACAGCCTTCTGGTGTCCTGAGGTCTCTCTCTTCCTCTACAGCAGGGCTTCTTAACCTGGGGTCTATGAATTTGTTTTTTAAAAAACAATTTTGATGTCTGTTGTTGTTCAGTCATTTCCAGTCATGTGTGACACCTCATGATCCCATTTGGGGTTTTCTTGGCAAGGATACTGGAGTATTTTACCATTTCCTTTTTCAGCTCGTTTTACAGATGATGAAACTGAGACAAACAGGGTTAAGTGACTTGCCCAGGGTCACACAGCTAGGAAGTATCTGAGACCAGATTTGAACTCAGGAAGATGAGTCTTCCAGACTCCGAGCCTCGTCTTCTATCTGCTGTACCACCTAGCTGCCCCAATTGATATCTATATTTAAATATAATTAGTTGATTTCCTTTGTAATCCTACATATTTTATTTTGTGCATTTATTGACATTGCTCTGAGAAGGGGTTCACAGGCTTCACTAGACTGTCAAAGGGGTCTGAGACACACAAAAAAGGTTATGAACTCTTGCCCTTTGGGGTGATGCCTTCCCTTCCCCTTCCCCATCCAGGGGTTCTTTTCATGCTGCTTGTTCTAGACTCTATTTACAATTCTTGCTTCAGATGCAAAAAATTTCTCTTTATGCCTCTGAGGCCCATTACTATTGACTTGCATTAATCTAACAGTGAGGAGCTGAGAGGCTCCCAGGAGGAACACTGTCCCCACCTCCATTCAGGTGCCAGAACTGATCGAGACTATTCACAGCAATCTGAACTACATAAAAGATTCCAGTGCCATTCAAATCATTGAGAAGACTCTTCAAGAACTAGCCCATAAGTATCCTGATGAGGTCATACTAATGTTGATCACCATCCAAGATAATGTACAGTAAGTCAATGCTACCAGCTCCAGACTAACCTAGGATTCCCTCTCCATCCCCCCAACCTTAGGCTGTCCCCCCCTCAGACTTCTATTACTGTTTCGGTCTAGGGGTATTGGGAACCCTGAAATGCAAGGGTACAGGGTATGGGTCTGCCTTGAAAGAATTTGACCACTCAAGCCTTCTTTCAGTCCAGGTAGCTAGTTTATTATGACACTGGTTGGGGTGGGTGAGACTCCTAGTGAGTCTACAGTATTTGTGATGCCAATAAAAGCGGGCAAGATTTTAAGCATCTGTGCATTTGGTGGTGATAAAATTGGTACTTTTATACGGAAAGGCTGTGGGAAGAACTGGATGGGATCTAGGAGTGGCAAGTAGCCTGGGTGAGCCAGCTCTAGACAATAGGGCCATAATGAAAGGACAGTTAAAAGGATTATTGACTGGGATGAGCCAGGTGCCTCAGGCAAAAACCAGAGATCTGGGTTCAGGGGCTTTGGAGTCCAGGTCCCAAAGACATGGTCTTTTCCTATTAGGGGTTCAGTGCATATCCCATCATTACCTCTTCTCTCTGTCCTAGTTAGAGCCTTTTTTTTAGAGCCTCTTTGCCCACTTTCAGTCTCCCATTTCCAACTGCCTGTGAGATATCTAGAACTGGAGGTGTTGCAGATGTCTTAAACTCAACAGGTCCAAAACCGAACTCATTCTCTTTCTTCCCAAACCCTATTCCTTTCTAGACCTCCACCATCTTCCCAGTCCCCTAAGCTCTCAACCTAGCGGTCATCCTCAACTCTTCAATCTCTTACTTCTCAATCTGTTGCCAAGGCTTCTCTTCAACTTCTCCAACTGTCTCCTCTTCTCTCCTCTGACACTGCTACCATCCTGGGACTGGCCCTCATCTCCTCAAGCCTGGACCACTGAAATGGTCTACTGATTGTCCTGCCTGCCTCAAATCTCTCCCTACTCCAGCTTTCCTCCATTCAGCCACTAAAGTGATTTCCTCCCCCTCCATTCAGCCACTAAAGTGATTTCCAGTAAAGGGAAGGTTGGACTATGTCAAACCCCTCCCCCCCTTCCAAATCCTGTATGGTGTTCAAAGCCCTTCATTATCTAACTCTCCTCCCCCTATAACTTTCTAATTCACTTATCTTTACTCCCTTCCCCACCACTCCCAGGCATTTTCTCTGGCTCTCCCCCATTCCTGGAATGTTCTCTCTTTTCTTCTCTGCCTCCTGGCTTTACTGGCTTCCTTTAAATTCCAGCTCAAATCCATGCCTTCTCTCTATTGAATACCTATCTATCTATCTATCTCTATTTTTTTATTTATAAATTTATCTGTTGAGGATCTATTTAGTTTATTTGTACATAGTTGTTTTCAAAGCATCATGCCTATTAGATTGTGAGCCCTCCTTGAGGGCTGGGACTGTCTTTTCCCTTTCTTTGTATCCCCAGTGCTTAGCATTGTGGCTGGCACATAGTAGGTGCTTAATAAATGTTTATTAACTAGTCTCCTCCAGACCTTCTCCCATCCAAGTTGGGATTCTGGATCTCATCCATGCTTGCTTCTCTGTTAGGTCCCAAGAATTCAGGGGCAAGGGGCAGGGAGGGCATGATTATCTGTATGGAACGTAGGGCTTCTTGAGGGGTAGGTCCCTGAGAATGCTGCCCTGCATAGTTCTGGCTCCTCAACAGCCTTGAGGACAGCCCATTCACTTTTCTGAAGGTGCCTGGAAGAGCTGATCAGGTTAGAGAAGAGCGGTAATGAGACACCTCAACCCTGCTCCATGCTTTAGTATGGATCAGTCAGTAAGATGAATTCTCTCTGTGGCATCTTCTTCCTACTCAGGCTGCTTCTCTTTTCCTCCTTCAAGGATCAAAAGTTATGGTAGACTCCAAAGCTTGGGAATCTGAGCAGGTCATTTCCCTGAGTCTCTGTTTCCTGTGTGTATGACTAAAGGCAGATTGCGCTTAATTTGTTCTTTTTTTAAAAAAAATTACAGTAATTAATTTTTAGTTAACAAGTATTTATTTTCTCTTCCGGCCACCCTACCCCCTTTAATTGAGCAATTCTTTGAACAAATATGCATAGTCAAGTAAAAATAAACCCTGACCTTGGCCATGTCCAAAAATGTATATTTCATTCTCCATCTGGAGTCCATCACTTCTTTGTCATCATAAATCCTCTGGAATTATAGTTGGTCATTGCATTAGCCAGAGTTCTTAAGTCTTTCAAATTTTTTTGTCTTTACAATGTGGTTGCCACTATATAAATTGTTCTCCTGGTTCTGCTTACTTCACTCTGTATCAGTTAATACAAATATTCTGAGGTTTCCCTGAAAGCATCCCTTTCATTCCTTATAGTATACTAATATTGCATGAATTCATATGTCATAATTTGTTCAGCTGTTCTCCAATTGATGGGCATCCCTTTAGTTTCTGGTACTTTGCTACTACAAAAAGAGCTGCTACAAATATTTTGTATCTGTGGGCTCTTTTTCTCTTGATCTCTTCGGGATATAGGATGAATAGTGGTTTCACTGGGTCAAAATGTATATACCCTTTGGTGACTTTTGGGGTATAGTCTTGCTTTCCAGAATGGCTAGACCAATGACATATTAATGCTCCCATTTCCTTCCAGCATTTGTCTCCAATGTTTGTCATTTTCCTTTTTAGTCATTTTTCCCAGTCTGATGGACATGAGGTAAAACCTCAGAGTTGTTTAATCTTTGTTCCTCTAGTTATTAATGATTTGGAGCATTTTTTTATGTGGTTGTTGATAGCTTGGTTTTCTTCCTTTGAAAAATGCTGTCATATCCTTTGTCCTTAATGTGATCTTTATAATGGACATTTATTAGCCAATGAGAGATTGTATAAGACTCTGGGGTTGAAGTGAAAGGAAGGGAGGGAGATGAAGAGAAGGGATGAGGGAAGGAGAGAAAAAGGAAGAAAGGGAGGAGGGAAAAAGGAATGAAAGTAGAATGTAACTTTCTTACAGGCAGGGACTGTTTTGTTTTTAAATTTTCTATTCCTAGCACCTCAGAGGCCCTCCCCGCATACTGGCTGTGTGACTCTGGGAAAGTCACTAGTGCTTAGGATACTGTCTTGTGTCTACATAGTAGGTGTTTAATAGATACTGCTGCATTGAATTGAAGAAGAGAAGGGATGGTGAGACAAAAGGGGAAAAGAAGGGAACAAGAGGAAAGAAAAAAAAAAGGAAAGGATAGTAGGACTCCCAAGGGGGAGAGGGAGCCAGGCAAAACCTTTTTCCTCCTGATGCTTTGTGGAACCTGCTCCAAATCAGCAAGGGCAGCAAGACCCTCAGAAAGGCTGAGGGGGCCTAACTGAGGACGGCTTTCCAACCCCACAGAAATCGAGAGCTGTGGAAGATCCTGGCAGCCTCCTCCAGTGGCTATGCTACCATCCTGAGTCATCTGCTGAAGAGGCTGTCTTTTCAGGATCCCAAGGAGCCCACTCAATCTTTGGAGATCAGCTCCGTGCTGGTACAGTGACTGCAGATGGAAAGCCAAGGGCATGGGGACTTGGAAGCAGAACTCCTGAACTCCTTTTGGTTGTCCTTGCTTTGTCTACAATCCCTGGGGGCAAAAAGATTTGGGGAACACTGGGAGGGAGGTTGGGCCTCATTAACATTCTAATGGTGATTGTGCTGGGCTGGGAGTCAGGAGACCAGTTGTGTAAGCTATAGGAAGACACTGAATATCTCTGCGTCTTCCTTTTCTCCCTTGTGGAAAATGATCCGTGCCCCTGCCTAACCCACAGGGAAACTTGGGATAGTACTGTGAAAGTGCTTTGAAGGGCAGAAAATGAAAAGCTAGAGAAGGCCTTCAGTACCTCAGATAGACGTAGTCTTGACACATTGTAACTGTGAACTGCACTGAGGGAGTTAGGTTACAGTGGCTTTTTAAGGGATAGAACTCCCCCAGCGGATTTGAGGTGAGTAGGCCAAATGCAAGTGATAACACCGATTTCTCTCTGCTCCTTCAGGCCAGCAGGGCTCTCAATGAGCTGCTTTTGCAATCCAGTTCCAAGTTAGAGGTGGAGACCCTCTACCCTTGGCTGTACATGGCCCTCCTGTCCCTGATCTCCTTCCTCGTGTTTGAAGGGGGCAGCAAGACCTTTGACAAGCAGCCAGGGCTGCCTGAAGGGATGAGCCCTGTGAGGTACTCTCTGCAGAATCATAGGATTTCAGAGTTAGAAGGGACCTTGGAAATCATCAATCGCAACTGTTCCTTAAGAGGAATCCCCTATGCACCACTGCTGACAAGTGGCCATCCACCCTTTATTGAAAGACCTCCAGTGATGGGAGGGAAAGGCCTTTTAAGGCTGCCTGTTCCACTTTAGGATTACCACCAGTTATTAGCAAGTTCTTCCTTATATATCTATAGGTATTGGTTCTGCCCTTTGGGGCCAAGCAGAGCAAGTTTAATCCCTTTTCCCTCTCATAACCCTTCAAATGCTTATCACAGCCCCCTTAAAATTTCTTTTTTACAAGCTAAGCTTCCCCACTTCCTTCCACCAATTCTTATTTGTCCTGTTAGTCAGTCTGTTTACCATTGAGCCCACTGTCTTTTGGAGGTATTCTAGTTTTTCAATATCCCTCCTATGTGGTGCCCAGAACTGAACCCAGTCCTTCAGCTGTGTTCTGACCAGGGTAGCAGAGTACAGCAGGGCTTCTGTCTCCCTTGTTCTGTACCCTGGACTTCTAGCCCAAGATCACATTATTGACTCGTAGTAAGCTTTTATTCTGTGAAACCCCCAGGCCTTTTTCATGTGAAGTGTTGTCTAGACAAGCCTCTCCCATCCCATATATGGTGAGATTGATTCTCTTAACCTGAAGTGCAAGGCTTTGCAGTCATCCTAATTGAACTTTTTTTTTTTTAACAACACAGTGCCCAAGCACTTAATAAATGCCAGTTCATCAATTGATTATTAGATTCAGCAAATCACTCTAACCTATACATATTTTTTTGGATATCTTATTCTGTCATCCAGTGTGCTGTCCATCCCTGCTCTGTGTCATTTACAAATTTGGTAAGCATGTCATCTTTATCTTCATTCAAGTTATTAATTGAGTAGAGCAGAGCTAATGACAAATTCTCTGGCACACTCCCCTGGAGACTTCTCTCCAGACTGACCTTGAATCAATAGTCATCTACACTTTGAATTTAGTCATTCAATTGATTACAAACTGACCTAATTTTACTCTCATCTAGTTTACATCTCACTATCTTGTTCACAGGCATGCCCTATCCAGTACACCCGTGATGTCAAACTCAAATAGAAGGGGATCCCTGCAGGCACACAGCCTTTAAAAGCTACAAATTACCATTATCTATGTTGTAGTGTATTTTTATTTGTTTTGCTAAACATTTCCTAATTACACTTTATTCTGATTCTGGCTACACTCTGGAGTCTTACCTACAGCTCATCACCAGCAGGAATCTGACCCCTCTGTATGTACCACTCAGCTGTAGGAATAGAATCTGTACCAGGGAGCAGCATGATGCAAAACCATACTGACCTGGGAGTCAGGAGACCTGAGTTCTAGCCCAGCTCTGCCGGTGGCTTACTGTGTGACCTAGGTCATGTCACGTAACTTCTTTGGGCCTCTGTTTCCTCATCTGTAAAATGGTTACTTGAAAAAAATGACAATGTGTTTCTATAAACCACAAAGTACCATATAAATGCATAGGCTATTACTAGCACCTTGTCCATTGTCTGTAGGTGCTTAGTCCCTGTGGCCCTTCCTAGTGCCAATATACTATGCTTCTAAGAGATATAGCAGATTCCTGTATTTGGATATAATAATAATAACTAGCATTTATATAGTGTTTTAAGATCTCCAAAGCTTTTTACATGTGTTAACTCATTTATGAGTATGTAGTACAGATTACTGAGCAAGGAAGAAACTTCTGAACCTTAGTTTTCTTATCTACAAAACAGGTATAACTCTTGTCTTTCTATTTTACTGGGGTGTTTTGGGCAAAAGTTAAATGAATGAATGTATGTGAAAACACTTTGAAAATTGTAAAACATTTTACTGATATAAGGGATGATTGTTCTTGCTAAGGAACAGTTGGTAGGTGACCTCCCCACCCTTTGCCATTTTCACAGCTGTGTCATTGAGTCCCTGAAGACCTTGATCTCTTCAGCTGGGTATGAGTACCAGGTGTCTTTCATGCAGAATTACAGGACCTGGGAGCTGCTGACTGAGCCAGAGGGATACCTGGAGGGAATCTCCATATTAGCCAAGTAAGCCTTCTCTTTGGGGCCAACATCTTGGGCTGCCCTCCTGTGTGACTTAGACCCTGGATCCTGTTCTCTGCTTCCCATGACAGGTCTATGACCATGAGGAGCTGCTGGCACATTCGCCCTATTGTTAGTCTCATCTTAAACATCCTCAGCGGGAATGAAGTTGGGAGTTTCGTTACCGCCTTGGCTGTCTTCGCTGAGGTCTGTGAAACTCAGTAAGGGATTGTTCTGGAGCGCCTGGAGACAGGAAGAAGGGTGGCCTGGGCTCCTGGGGAAGGCAGAAATTGCTCTAGATAGAGACTCCCTTAAGAGAAATTCCAAGATGGTGCCACACTGGTGAAGAAACAACCCAGACACCCAGGTTTTTCCTTATTCCAAGGATGATGATAGCAATGATAATAACAATAGCTATTTTTTATACAGTGCTTTAATGTTTGTAAAGCATTTTGCATATGTCATCACATTTGGTTCATACAATGACCCTGGGAAGTAGATGTTGTATTTTACAAATGAGGAAACTGAGCCTGAGAGAGGATAAGTGATAATAGAGTGAGAGCTTGAAGGAATCTCAGAGGTCTAGTACAATCCCCTTATTTTACACATAAGGAAGCTGAGGCCTAGAGAGGTTCTGTAGCTGACTCAAACCCAGGTCCTCTGCCTCCAAATCCATCCCTCTTTTCATTATACCACACTGCTTAATTCAGTTTGCTGAGCACTTGCGCTGTGGGGGCCAAGGCAGGGTCCCTGACCTCTGGGAGGTCATAGTTCAAGGGGTAGGCAAGACCGAGACCCAAACAGCTGCCACTTAAAACGCCTGTACAATGGGGACACAAAACTGTCCCCATTGATGATGACAAGAAGGCTTCCTCTTAACTGGAGAGATCAGAGGAAGCTTCATAATGTGACATTTGTGTTGGGTTGGTCTTATGGAGTTGATTCCTGTTGATTTGGACCAGGGACCCCAAGATCTTCTTTGATTGATTCAGGAATGATCTGGGTCAGAAGCCATCAAAACAAACAGAATCTAGGGACTCAGATGAAGTGAAGCAGTGAGTCCAGCAAAAATCAGGTAGCAGGCCTAACTACCCTTCCCTTCCCTTGCCTATTAAGGCTAATAGCAGAAGTGAGAGCAAAGGTGAGCTCTGTTTTTTCAATGAGATATTTTTCTTCTCTTGACTTAGTCAGATAGGAAAGAGAGAGAGTTGGAGGTAGCCAGAGACATGGTAGAATAATAATACCTAGTATTTGGAGGAGACAACTAGGTGGTGCAATGAATAGAGCTCAGGAAGGAGTCAGGAAGACCTGAGTTCAAAGCCCACCTCAGACACTGACTAGCTGTGTGACCATGGGCAAATGACTTAATCCTATTTGCCTCAGTTTCCTCATCTGTAAAATGAGCTGGAGAAGGAAATGACAAACCACTCTAGTATCTTTGCCAAGAAAATCCCAAATAGGGTCACAAAAAGTTGGGCACAACTGAAACAACTGAACAACAATAATAAAAGTATTTGGAGATGGATAAATAAGGAAAAAAGCAGATGGGTATTTACAAATTTTGTACTTAAAGTTCAATGGGAAACTTTTGTCGAGAGTGCGTCAATATTTTTTCATGTGAATTATTCTTCATCAGTGTTCCTGTGCCAATTGTGACATCTAGTAATTCACATCAGTATATTCTCAGCAGCTTCTTCATGTTTCCATTTCAACATTCTTAGTTCAATGTTTCCTAATTAGTTTATTGGTCAGGGGGTCCATGTTGATGTGCGTGATATAACCATCACTGGTTGAGGTCTGGGACCTCTACCCGTGAACACACCCAGGATTTAGGGGCTTCCCCTTCAAGGAAAGAGCACAGGTTGAAATAGCTTGGTATGATGGAACCAACATTGAACATGGAGCAGTAGGCCTCAGTGAGCCAGTTTGTCGTAAGCATTTATTAAGCACCTACTATGTGCTAGGCACTGTGCTAAGTGCTGGAGATACAAAGAAAGGCAAAAGAGTCAAGTTCTAGCTGTCATCCCACCATCTGTGTGACCTTGAGCAAGTTGTGTTCCCTTCCTGAGCCTCAAACTCCTCATTTGTTAAGTGAGGTAAATGATCATATTGGGCTTGCTTACTTCACAAGGTTGTTGTGAAGAAATCACTTTGTTATCGCTAAAATAAGATATGTGGATATTTGTGTAAGCTGTCAGTATGTCCTAAAAGGGGCTTCTAAGTTTTCTCAGCTGGTCTGTGTCACCCAGAGTCACCTTGAGCAGGTGATTGATGGGGCTGCTTCTTTGGCTGGCCTCTACCAGTAGGCTTAGTGGTTTAAACCTCGACACTAAGGACATACCACTGGTGGTTTTGTTTTTTAAATCAAGAGAGATATTTATCATAATAAAATTAGTTAATTCACTTATCAAACATAAAGAATACAATCTTGAACAGACAGATAAAAAAGCATTCTCCATACAAATAGGCATGCTCTACCATTTTCTAACCTCACTGTGGCAACTGCCCTGGGGGTCCCTGCAAAATGAGAGGGTAGGACTAGAGCAGCAGCTCTCACTGTGGTCCAAGGACCCTCGGGAGGTAGTGTATGATGTCAGAACTATTTTCATAATAATACCAAGGTGTTTTCACTTCCAAAATGGAAAATGTAGATATACTATATAGATTAGCCTACTTCTGGAGACCTTCCTACAGGTGTGTTGATAATTGGTGGGTACCACACAGCACAAAGGCTTGTAAACCTTACTCTGGCCACCCAACATGCCAACCTCTTCTACCGATCCCTTTTCTTACACCACTTCCTCATTGCAAGACATCACAGGGAATCTACTGCACTCTGCTTATCTCTACCACGCATCTCTCTGTTGCCTTTTGGATCACTTGTTTTTGTTTTTGTTTTTTTGTATTTTTTTGGCTAGGCAATGGGGTTAAGTGACTTGCCCAGGGTCATATAGCTGGTAAATGTCAAGTGTCTGAGATCAAATTTGAACTCAGGTCCTCCTGACTCCAAGGCCGGAGCTCTATCCACTGCACCACCTAGCTGCCCCCCTTTTGGATCACTTGAAACTGTGATTCTTTGGAAATTGTGGTGTTCTAAGACTGGCAATCATATACCATCATTAGAGGAATAGTGTGATGTTAAAAAAACAGACACAAAA